GATGCTCTAAGATAACCAAAAAACTCACATCAAAGCTGAACAAGAAACATCAACATCTAAAACGGGAAAATAAAGATGCTCTAAGATAACCAAAAAACTCACATCAAAGCTGAACAAGAAACATCAACATCTAAAACGGGAAAATAACAACCACAACTTAAAAAACATTCTCTTATGCCAAGAAACACTTTTTAATTATTCTAATGAAGTTGTAAAAGATGTTGTGACATCTCGAGCACAGTGATTTTCGCTCTAACCGCACACATGCTTCTTTTTGTAAAAGGCATATCTATGAAACTTTCTTAATATGAACCAACGACTTGAAAATCTTCACAACCACCTCAATAAGAAACATTTTTATTATTCATCTCGCTAAAAAATTTCAAAGACCAAGAGATCTTTGATTTACTGATGTAATAAAAAAGGTGGAACTTAGAAATTAATGCGTACAGGAAATTAATATTTAGCAGAATGAAGTAGGCTAATATTCAGATAATATTATGTGTTCCTTTCATCAGATCTATGAAGCTAATGATTACTTCTTGGGATTTCTTGAAAAAAGTTGCTCTATTCAAAACCACGTTTAAATATATGGAACCTCAAATGTTAGATATTATCATCAAAACTACAGACGGCTTTATCAAGGATAATTTGGCATGCAATATTCATTAAACGTTAACCAAAGAAAACTCTGGTGTCGTACGTACCTGGTTTACAAAGTTGCGTGTTTCTCGTCACAGAATTTTCGTCTGGTTTCTTGTGAAAGGTTGTATCTCCTGTCTCAAAATATCTGTCTGCTAACATTTTAACATCACTAACTGCTGGAAAGAACTTAGATAATGTTATGACACTGCTTTGATTTTTGTCTGCTCTTACTGATTCGGAATTTATTAAGCCTGATTTTGGAATGAAGAAGCTTTTTCTTGTTTCTTGTCGTGCTCCATATTGTTCGGAGCCAAGTGTAAATGTGGAATCAATCCTCGGTTTTGTTAGATTTTTTTCTGTGGTTGAGCTGTTAGTAAATTCTGTACCTTTTCGACTTGTAGACGAAGCTGAGATATCTGACTTATTCATGTCCCTGAGTTCCATACTAGTTACACCTGGATGCTCAACCTCCATACCAATTACATCTGGATGATCATCCTCCATACTAGTTACATCTGGATGATCATCCTCCATACTAGTTACATCTGGATGCTCAACCTCCATACCAGTTACACCTGGATGCTCAACCTCCATACCAGTTACACCTGGATGCTCAACCTCCATACTAGTTACATGTAGATGCTCATCCACCTTGGGATAAAACTTAGTATTAACTGAATGTTCTAATATTTTTGAGTTCCTGTTTGAAAGTTTTTCCTGAACTTGTAACTCTACAGAAAATCTTAAGTCATCTTCCGGTTTCACCTTGTGGCTTCTGGTTAAGGGTGCATTCATCTTATATTCATCCTCCTGTTTTTCTGTCTGATTTTCAGTCTCGTTGTTGGGGTGTGTTAAATTATATGGTATTATATCTGAATCAGTGTCTATACCTTGGGAAGAACCATCTATTGTAGTTATTTTAGAGTTTTCCCTGAAAGGAATTGATTTGTCGGAATCTTGCAAATCCTTCTGGATAACAGAATCTAGTTCATGAAAGGGGGTATTAATCAACCATGAAGTAGACTTCACAGTTGTTGTTGTGATGTTGTTTACATAGGGCATGATTTCAATATGCTTAGGCTCGTCTTTAGATTGGTCGGTTGTGTTCTTGGTTTCTATTTTCTTGAGCTGGTGTCTGATAAACAATGGTTTAAAAGCATCAGTCGCAGTATCCTTTCCCATTTCCAATAAGCTAGGTGTAACCACTTCAGGTTCTGGAATAGATACTTCATTAACAGTGTTGACTAACATAGAGTGAGTGGTGGTTAGATGTACATCAGACTTTGGATATGTTCCAATTGCTACCCAGATGAACTCCCTCTAGAAGAATTTAGTTGGCTTGTTCCTTTTGAAAGTAGTTGTCCTGGATCATCAGAAAGTAACATGTTCTTTCCTTTATTAACTTCTGGATTATTTGTAACTGAAATATGAAGAGATCCAAACTTATTTAGAAGCTCATCGGGTGCACTATTTAATGTTTCATGAAATGGTGTGATAGTTAAAGAAGGTGCTTTACGATCATTTTTTATTTCACCAGCTGATGAATGAAGTTTCAAGTCTAAAGGTTTAACGTACGTTAAGATGTTGTTACCTGAGGATACTGATGTTGTGGTTGTACTGGTTACTTCGAAAACATTGTTATTAGAAGAGGGCAGTAATGTAGCTGGAGTAGCAGTTTTTAAAATATTACTGTATGAAAATATCAGTTCTTTGTCTGGGGTGGTATCTTCCAAGATTACTTCATTCACAGATATTGGTGTTGTAAATGGATTGGTAGTTTTTAAAATGTGTGATTCCATATTCTCAGCCTGTTCAATCCGTGATTCTTTGTTCTCAGTCTGCTCAGTGTGTGGTTCTGTATACTCAGCCTGCTCAATATGTGATTCTGTATTCTTAGCCTGTTCAGTCTGTGATTCTATATTCTCAGGCTGCTCAATCTGTGATTCTGTATTCTTAGCCTGCTCAGTATGTGATTCTTCTTTATTCTCAGTCTGCCCAATATGTGATATTGAGCAGGCTGAGAATACAGAATCACATATTGAGCAGACTGAGAATACAGAATCAGACATTGAGCACACTGAGCATACAGAATCACATGTTGAGCAGACTGAGCATACAGAATCGTATATTGAGACGGATAAGAATACAGAATCACACATTGAGCAGACTGAGAATATAGAAATTGAGCAGGCTGAGCATAAAGAATCACATATTGAGCAGACTGAGCATACAGAATCGTATATTGAGACGGCTAAGAATACAGAATCACACATTGAGCAGACTGAGAAGATAGAATCACATATTGGGCAGACTGAGAATACAGAATCACATATTGAGCAGGCTGAGAATACAGAATCACAATCTGATTCTGTATTCTCAGCATAGTTGATAGAAATTGCATTTGTAACAACGTCTCCAGTATTGTCATGGTTTGATGTCACTACAGTGGTTTTCAGCATGGTTGTGGTATTGTATAATTCTTGGTCAGTTTGTTTTTCTCGCTCTGCTGTATTTTCTACAGCACTATCATTAGCTGAGAACCAAGCACTATTTTCAAATGTATTTAAGTAACCATGACTATTCTTTTCCGAGGAAGACTGCGAATTCCAGGATTTGATATCTTCAGAAGAACTGCTGCTTTTAGTGTTATTCCACAATGACAGTTCTTTTACTTGACCTAAACTAGCATCTGTAGTCAGTATTGCATGGTTTGGCCCTTGTTCCATGGGAATCTTTTCTAACACCACTCGAGTCAACAGTGAATTATTTCTTACCTGTTCTAAGGAAACATCTGGCTCGATAACAGTCTGCATTGTATGATTTTCAACGACGGTCAACAATCTGTGGTTTTCTAATTCATTCAAATAATCATTTTGTTTAACAGTGGTCAACAAAGTATGGTTTGCAGATTGCACAGTACTATCATTCTGCTCAACAGCAGTAAAAAGTGTGTGGTTTGTGGCTTGCTCCATAAAATCATTTTGTCCAATAGAAGGCAGTAATGTATGGATTTTTATTTCCTTCAATTTGTAATTTTCCCCTGCAGTGGACACAGATGTATAATTTTCTTCTTGCTCCACATTATCATTTTGTTCAACAGCAGTTAACAACGTTTGATTTTCAACTGGCGTCAATGTATCGTTCTTCTGGACAGTAGTCAACAATTCGTGGTTTTCTACTTTCTCCACAATATCATTTTGTCCAACAGCGGGCAATAATGTATGGTTTTCTACTCGCATCACAGAATCTTTTTGATCAACATCAATCAACAGAGTATGGTTTTCAGCCTGTTCCACATTATCATTTTGTCCAACAGCGGGCAACAATGTGTGTATTTCTAATTGATTCTCAGAATCATTTTGTTCAACAGTGATCAACAAAGTGTGGTTTTCAGATTGTACAACAGTATTATTTTGCTCTTTTGCAGTTAACAACATATAATTTTTTTCTTGCTCCACAGTATCATTTTGTCCAAAAGTGGGCAACAATGTGTGGGTTTCTCTTTGCTTCAATGTGTAATTTTCTCCTGTTTCGGACAGAGATGTATAATTTTCTTCTTGCTCCACAGTATCATTTTGTCCAACAGTGGGCAACAATGTGTGGGTTTCTCTTTGCTTCAATGTGTAATTTTCTCCTGTTTCGGACAGAGATGTATAATTTTCTTCTTGCTCCACAATATCATTTTGTCCAACAATGGGCAACAATGTGTGGTTTTCTCTTTGCTTCGAAGTGTAACTTTCTCCTGCTTCTGACAGAGACGCATAAGTTTCTTCTTGCTCCACATTCTCATTTTGCTCAACAGTGGGCAACAATGTGTGGTTTTCAACTTTCTTCAATGTATCACCCATCTCAACAGCGTTCAACATTGCACGGTTTTCTATTTGCTCATTAGTGGTCAATAATGTATTGTTTTCTGATTGCTCCACAGTGTCGTTCTGCTCAACAATCGACGTTGTAACGTGGTTTCCTAATTGCTCCAGACTAACATTTTGGTGAGTAACAATCAACAGTGAGTGTTCTTTTGCTCGTTCCATATTAGTTTGTTTACCAGCAAACAACATTTCATTTTCTTGTACATCATGGCTCTGCTCAACACCGGCCGCGAAAGTGAGGTTTTCCATATGATACGAAATATTATTTTCTTCATCATCAAACAATATAGTAGGGTTTTCAACTTGCTTTTCCTCATCATTATTTTGTTTAACAGTGGTCAACAAAGTTTGGTTTCCGACTTGTTCCACATTGTTATGTTGTTTAACAGTGGTCAACAAAGTTTGGTTTCCTACTTGTTCCACGTTGTTATGTTGCTCAATAGTGGCCAGTAACGTGTGATTTTCTACTTGTTCCACAATGTTATGTTGTTCAATAGTGGCCAGTAAAGTGTGATTTTCTTCTTCCTTCCACAATGTTATCTTGTTGAACAGTGGCCAGTAAAGTGTGATTTTCTTCTTCCTTCACATTGTTATCTTTTTTAACAGTGGTCAGTAAAGTGTGATTTTCTTCTTCCTTCACATTGTTATCTTTTTTAACAGTGGTCAGTAAAGTGTGATTTTCTTCATCCTTCACATTGTTATTTTGTTCAATACTGACGAACAAAGTTTGGTTTTCTAATTTTTCCAGTGAATGATACTGTTTAATTGCGGACATCAATGAGTTGGCTTTTATTTGGTTCATTGTATCGTTCTTTAGTTCGTCAGTGTCCAGCAGTGTATCATTTTCTACTTCTTCAGATCCTATTATGTTTGTTAATCTTGGAATATTTTCAGGGTTTGGCAGGGTCAATGGTCGACTTTTTACAGTAGAACTAGAATAACTTGGTAATGAAGTGGATAACGTAGCGATTATACTCTGGTTGTCTTCTGTTTCATTAAGCAGGTTCAAGCTTAAAAAACTCTTAGTTTTCATTGTTTTATTATGTTCATTTTCAAGATTAACGTAATCAAAGGCGTTTTCGTTTACACGGTTTAACGTGTCTTTCACAGCTGCGTGATTATACATTTTTCCTTTACTTTCGCTGTTTTCTAGAAAGACATCTGTGTCATTAAGAAGCAGCTCAAAACCATCAGTAACCATCGTTTTAAGTTCTTCATTTATCGATGTTCCCAAACTAAGATTTCCAGTCATCGTGTTGGTAGATGCCATCGAAGTCGTTTTATTTCCTTTGTCTTCTAGAACTCCAGCCTCTGGCTCTGGAAGGATTTGTGTCAGAGATGGTTTAATCTTTGTTGTGGTTGAAAAAGCTACTGGTGTAAGAAAAGTGTATACTTCAGGATCGTAACTAACCCAGTAGTTTTTAGAACCGACGATCTTTTCGATAAACTCTCTCATTGAAAATATGTTTGCAAAGATGACAGGATGCTCTTTGTAGATGTTGCACCACCGTTGGTACGTCAAAACACCTCCAAAATGCCAAATACCTTTGGTTGACAAACACATCAAAGGAGCTCCTTCGTCATTCTGTGAGATAATATTTTAATAATTAATTTTAAAGGCAGCTACCAAAAACAGTCATAGCTAATTATGACGTTATTTTGTGAAAAGTGACAAGCTTATAATTCACTGTTCTGTAAATGCGTGAAACATAACGAACCGGAAGTTGATCCAAACTAAAAGTGCCTCCCAGACCTGGTTGGCTCGGTTTGGGTTAAATTTCGCGATAAGCTGCTCGAGAGTTATCTGCAGGCCCGGTATGGCCAGGTGGTTAGGGCACTCGACTCGTAATCTGAGGGTCGCGGG